CCCCTGACCTTTCCTTCAAAACCTTTTAGAGTCCAACCCAACATAGCCTAAAACTTGCTTCCATCTCCACTATGCTTGGTTGTTCATCTATGTAATTAGTTATGTTGTTTATTTTCTCTTGTTGATTTGTAGAGCCGTGGCATGCAATCAACTATGTACGTAGAAATGGCTCCGGGAGTGACAACTGATGAGCTATACAATCACTTAAAGAGAAGTTATGAGGTTTGTTGATGCTTGTGTCTTAACTTCTTTCTACTTAATGATCACATTTGTTTTTCAAAACTTGCAAAATTTGTTTCTTTTTAAATATTAACTTCTTCCAACGCTTCTATCCTTGAGTGATATATATGACTGGTTTGTTTAGTTTTCGACACGGAAAGGGTAAAAATTGATTCTTTAACCCAACCACTTTAATCCATCCAGAACGAAGAGTTTGTAGTATTGCTGAAGGACAAAGATGTTCCGCATACCCGACATGTCCGAGGATCAAATTACTGCCTCATGAATGTGTTTCCGGATCGAATTTCTGGGAGAGCAATTATTATATCAGTTGTAAGTCTGTTTGACATCACGCTGTACTTTCTGAGTATTGGATGAAGCATTTTTTGCAATTGTTTTCGCGCTAACAGTCTGTTTTTTATGTCGCTGCATGCAGATTGATAATCTTGTGAAGGGCGCGTCTGGGCAAGCGTTACAGAACCTCAACTTGATGATGGGTATTCCTGAAAATACAGGGCTACATTGCTTACCTTTATTTCCTTGAGTTATTATTATTATTTTGTCTAGCTTTGTTATCATCATTCATCAACAAGTTTTTTCTTTACCTTAAAAAAATACGGAGTATTTTTCTCGATGTTAGATCTCCAATTTCCTCTATGCATAAGTGAAAATAAGCTATGCTACAAAGCAATTAAAGCTTGTATGTATACTATAGTGTTCATGATTCAAGGGCCATTCAACGTCTGGTGTTGGAATCCTAATTCAAACAACTTGATTTTGGTATCTTTGATTTGGTTGCTCGAGTTACTATTCACGTTCTAGTGTACCTGTACGGTTTTGCTACTGGTCTAGCCTTTATTGCTTGGGCTGGTGATTTGTTTCAGAAGGCAGAAAACAAAGGTATTCAAAGCCAATTAAAGGATTGTTTTTTTTCTTATTTGGACCCGAGGCAGTGATGTTAATTCTTTAAGCTTTCTATATATGCTGTTTTTGACCTTAAAAGTGCTTGTATGCTTGAAAGTTGAACTATCCTTGATATATCTTACTTAGGGATAGTATTTAGAAGCATAACGTGATGTTTTAATGCTGATTTTTGAGTTTTAAAAGCTAAATTTGCTGAAACTCTGATCTGCACTGCTCTTACTCATGAAAAATCTGCAATTCCTTCTTCATTTGCAAGCTGATTTTAAGTTCCTTAGATGCTTGCCTACTGATTTTTGACTTTTTAAGGTCACATATGCTAGCTTTGGATATTGTATGTGCTGTTTCTCCAATTCTGAGTTGTATGTAAAGGAGAAACTATAATGTTGCTCTTACACTAGAGTAGAACTATTATTGCTGTATTTTTGCGTAGGAACTCAACCTAGAAACAAAATATAAGGTTTAGAATGCTGTTTTTTCTGTTTTCTGAGCTGAATATGAAACATATGGCCTTAAGAAAAATCAGCTTTGTTTATGCTTGATTTTCATGTTGAATTGAGTTCCCTAAGACGCAATTTGCTGGACTATGCACTTTAGTGGATAAATAATTGTATAGGAACGGAATTGAGAGCACCTTGCATGATTTTGAAGCGGTTTATTTTGGCCTTAGATGCTAAAATTCTGTCCTGGAAGTGTATTATTGTTAAAATTCTGATTCTGAATCAGGTTTCACACAAAAAATTTACACCTAAAATCTGAATTTTGTTTCTCATTTGAGCTTCAAGTGATATTTTGTGTAGAAACTGGAAGCAAAAGCTGATTTATATTGTTTTTACTCTTTATTTGATTTAAAGAAACACATGTTTTTATCTTACTACTTCATGCCTTAAGTGAATATTTGTTTGTCAAGTAGTAAGCTTTGTCCAGCCATTGACGTTAAACTGGGCGGCTTATGGGAGGCAACCTATTTTCTTTTTTAGTTATTTCATCTTTCTTTTAAAAATTATTTTAACTCCTAACTTTAAATTATTATTGTACTTTTTTTCCTCTCTTATTGCTGTTGATTGCATTTTTTTCCCTTCTTAATTTTTTTTAAACATGATCTTTAGATACAATTTTTTTTTCCATAAGTGTTTTAAACATGATCTTTAGATACAAAAACATTAATTTTTTCCTCTCTTATTGCTGTTGATTTCATAATTTTTACTTAAACTCTAATCCCCCGCCCCCATAAATTTATACAAAAAACTAAGTTGGCTTCTTTGATAACTTATGAATCTAGGAAAGCTTTAGATGACTATGATATTGAATAGGTTTACAATGCTACTTTGAGTTCCACAAATCCAATATCTATTGTGGAACCATGGGGAGATGATGACCTTACTTCTAATCCCCCTCCCCTTCAAACACCATTGTCGAAAGGCAATTCTTATTGTGTTTTCAGGGAATTGGCTGAAGCTGCGAAATCGAAGAATAACGATGGGTACCTTTTCATGTTTTCCATTCTCTGGGCAAATCAAACAACTAAAGATATCCCACCAGCAATTGAATGCCAATACACATTCCACAACACTTATCCAACTCCTTGACAGGAACACGCAAGTGGCTGATGAAGGCCCTTCTGCCTCAAAATTGACATCTATTAAAAGCTTTGCACCCTCGAAGACATCAACGATGAGGAATAAATCTATTACGAAGGATTAGAACACAAATTTACTCTTGTAAGGTTAAAAAAATTTAACAGGAGGCTTGATCAAGTGATGATGATTCAAAAAATTAAAATGGTGTCAGCTCAATATGGGAGATGCAAGAACAACTCAAGAGGAAGGGGGCGTGGAAGGTGATGCATGTGTGACATCCATCAATAATGATGGTGCAAATTGTAGACTTTTGAAAAACTTTTAGAGTGAGATTATTGTCACAAGCACACCGAGGGTGACTCTTAGCTTTCTTTGCATTTTGCTTTTGTTGTTCTCTACCACTTTTGGGTAGAATCCTTAACTTTTCTTGAGGGGCTTCGGCCTAGTCCCCTTCTCATTGTACTACTCTCTTTTCTTTTCCTTCTTCAATAAAAATATTTATATATATATATGTATGTATGTATGTATGTATGTATGTATGTATGTATGTATGTATGTATGTATGTATGTATGTATGTATGTATGTATGTATGTATGTATGTATGTATGTATGTATGTATATATATATATATATATATATGTATATATATATATATATATATATATATATATATATATATATATATATATATATATATATATATATATATATATATATGGGATTGACTCCAGTGAGATGACACCTTACGGTGAGATGACATGCTTCGGTCAAATAATGCAAATCTCACCACACTACACTACAAAGCTCACCAACGGACAAAGCATAGCTCACCTGGAAATAAAGCAAATCTCACCACTTTGAACCCCAAAACTCACTTTTTTTAAATTTTTAAATTTAAAAATTAATTAAAAATAAAATAACAACACCGGTCAACCACCGGTCAACGACGGCTGAGCACCAGCGACGGCCGGAGTCCGGCGGCGGTGACCGGCGACGGCCGGAGTCCGGCGGCGGCGACCGGCGGGGACTGCCGGAGACCGGAGACCGGCAGCGACGGCAGGCGGAGGTCAATGTTTGCGGTCAACAGTCAAAGTCCAGTCAGCACCCATTCCTTTGATTTTATTTTTTGAAAAAAAATTCAAAGTGTGGTAAAAATATAGTGAGCTTTGCCTTGCAGTGGCCAGTGGTGAGCTTTGTGTCATCTGACTGAAGCATTTTATCTCATCGTAAGATGTCATTTCACTGGAGTCAATCCCTATATATATATATATATATATATATATATATATATATATATATATATATATATATATTATTGAAGGTATATTCAATAATAATAAAATTTAATTATGTAGAGTTTTCAATGGTATTAATTGCATAAAGGAGATAAAGACACTAAAGCTACCAAGATAGCTTTAGGAACATCCGAGTATGAAAATTTCAAGATGAAGGCCGGAGAGTCCGTTCAAGATATGAACAAAAGATTCAACCTCATCATCAACAATTTGAGTAAGCTAAATAAAGTTTATCCTACTAGTGAGATTAACACCAAGATTATATTCTCTCTTCCTAGAGAGGCATAGTCTTGTTGTAAATTTGTTGCCCAAATGTGCGGATGTTGAAACCTCCACCATTTGGAGCAGCCTATACTCTCACGAGCTTCTTTTGAAGAAAATGAAGGAAGAAGATTAGGTTCCTATCATCAAGAAGACCATGGCACTCAAAATTGATGACCATCCGAAAAGCGAAGGAGAAAGTGATGAGGAGCTTGCCATGTTCAAGAGATACAAGAAGTTTATGAAATGGAACAGGGGCGAATCCTCAAAAAGATTTCCATCAAAGAAAGGTAAACCTAATCAAATAACTTGCTATGAATGTAGAAATGTAGGTCATATCAAACCGGAGTGCCCAAAGCTCAAAAAGAAGGAAGAGCTTAAAACAGGGAAGAAGAAGGCATTAAAAGTTACTTGAGACGATTTAAACTCCGATGAAAGTGATAGTGATCAAAGCCAAGAAGAGAACGCAAATGCTTGCTTCATGGCCTCCAATGATGAAGAAGATGTTAGTTCTCAAAATTCATTTACCTCTTTTGAAATTCAAATTACTTTTGATGAGTTAAGGCAAGCGTTTGATGAATGCCAAGAGGACCTTTTTCGAACCATTAGGGAGAAAAAGGAACTCAAGGCGGCTCTTGAAACTTCTCGTGATGAGAACAAAAATTTTAAACTTAATCTTGAAAAGTTTCAAAACCAAAATGAAGAACTTCAAAAGAAAATTGAAATTTTGATTAAAGAAAAAGATAAGGCCAAACGAGGGGCTTTGGAAATGTTTTACAATAGCTATAACTCAACAAAAGAATGGGATAATCCAGCCAAAACTAACGAAAGAAGGTATTGGTTATGGTCAATCCACAAACTTGATGAGTATGGATAAAAACCATTTTAATACCTCTAAAACTAACCCATCAAACCAAGCCTCAGCTTCTAAATCAAAAGTAAAGGCTTGCCATTATTGCATGCAAGCTAACCATATTGTGACAAAATGTCCAAACAAATGGTTAGTTGAAATGCGTAAATTAAAATGGGTCAAGAAGGATTCTAACCGGTCGGAATCCAAGAATATTGGATATCAAAAGAAACCCTTTTTGCAGGAAAATAAAAGAAATGATGGCGGATACTATTTCTTTTATTATGACAAAAAACGAAAAGTCCATATACCACTTCCGGAACCTACCAAGACGAAACCCGTATATCGACATAGGGTATTCGTCGATTGGAACCCCAAACCTAAGTCAAAAGTAAATTCCTTTTTGACTAGGTGAAAAATACCACTTGGGTTGTGGATAGTGGATGCTCGAGACACATGACCGGAACAAGAGGATGATTTACAAATCTCAAGGAGAAAAGTCATGGACATGTGACCCTTGGAGACAAATCTCGGAAGAAAGTCATTGGTAAAGGTACGATAGGTATTTCAAGTGATTTTCCAATAAATGATGTTTATCTTGTTGATGGCCTAAAATTTAACTTAATAAGCATAAGCCAACTTTGTGACAATGGCCACAAAATTGAGTTCAATGCAAAATCCTGCGTTTTATATGGCCAAAATAAAGATGAAATCATTTTTGAGGCTAAAAGAGATGGAAACTTATACAAGTTCAATTCCAATGACTTAAGCAACTCAAAAATCACTTGTCTTACTACTTCACTTGAATTTTCAACTTTATGGCACCGTAGACTAGGACATGCTAGTTATGATCTTTTGAGAAAACTTTACTCAAAAGAACTTGTTGTTGGGCTACCAAAAATGAGCATACCTACTTCTCATTTTTGTGATGCTTGCTCCCTTA